ACTCCAAACTCTTATGTTTTTCTGAATATGTGAATGACAGTTTATAACTTTTTAATATATTTAACTTCTAAGACTTTATCATTTACTTCACTTGAAAATGAGTTTTATTTAAAACTCATTCAGTAGAAAGTATTTTAACACTTTCTATTCAGGGTATAAACAAAAACCTCTGGACTCACTGCAAAAAAACGCATTCTTTAAACAGAATTAATTTCTAAGGGACTTTTCTGTCCTCTCTAAATTCAAGGTATTAAAATACACCTCTGTATTCCTTATCAACAGAACTTTCTAAGATGATCAAAATGTTCTATATCAATGCTGTCCGATATGGCAACCACTGGCTGTATGTGGCTACTGAGCACTTAAAATGTGAACAGTGAACAAAGAACTGACTTTTCCACTTAATTTAATCAACTTAGAATTTAACACCTATGCAAAGCTAGTGGCTATTACTATCAAATGATCATGACTAGGTTTGATAACCTCCAACGGTGCTGTATTTATTAAAAGAAACAACACAGGAGGCAACCCAAGTGTCCACTGACAGATGAATGGAAAACAAAATGTGTTATATATACACAATGGATTACTCAGCCTTAAAAAAAGAAAAAAAGAAAATTCTGACACATGCTACAAAATAGATAAACCTTGAGGATACTGAGCCATGTGAATTAAGCCAGTCATAAAGGGACAAGTACTGTATGATTCCACTTGTGAGGTACCTATTCAAATTCAAAGACATAAACTAGAATGGTAATTGCCAGGAGCTGCGGGAAGCAGAACAGAGTTTTAGTTTTACAAGATGAATTCTGTAGACGGATAGTAATGAAAACTGTACAGCACTGTGAAGGTATTTAACACCACTGAAGTGTACACTTAATAATAGTTAAAATGGTAAATTTTATGTCTACCACAACTTAAAATTATATATATTTTAAAAGCATAACAATTCAAATAAGTACTTCTGACATAATAGCTAACTAGAAATCTAAAGTCATCAATAATGAAATAGATGCTTCTCAGAGATGGAAACTCAGATTTATTGAAAAAACAATAAAACAAGAACCAATTATAGTAATCCCAAAATGATTCAAATTATATTATTATACATTACTATACCATATCCAAGAGCTTGGCATTTTACTTGATGGGATCTAGCTGTACAGAGTAAAGTGGAGTTCTTTTAAGAAGTCACAAGGTTCAACAAAATAAAGTCAGAATACTTAATGCTTTGTTGTGTTTTGTTTTGTTTTATAGGCACTGACTAGAGCTGGCCTTGAGCAAGTCTCATGTTGAGTAACTAGAAAAACAAAACTCAAAAAAAGGAACTGTATACAATTATTTTAACTTCCTTAAAAGATAAGGCTAACTCTAGTAGAAGGGCTTAATAAAAGTATAGCTCTCAGGCTGTAAAGAAGGAAATACTGGGATAAGGCACAAGATTGCCACCATTAATAAGTAATTAATGCATGCACAAGAAAGCAGGCTAAAAATCAACATAAATAACAAAAGAGATCATCCTTTTTCTCAGAACTCTGTATGTATTTAGCTTCCAACTGCTATAATTGCTAGGAGTGTTATCATATTACAACAAAATATTTTAGGAAAGTTACTAATTAAGTGAAAAGGGATGATAAAATGAATTTACTCTCTTAGGCTTCAAAAAAAATCTTTTTTATTTAAAGCAGTTTATCACTATAAGATCTTAATCCCCACAAACAGCCATAAATTGGAAAAAATAAAGTTTAACATCAGAAGAATATTAAAGGTATATTATTCTTTTCAAAGTCATAAAAATAAGTATTTTTTTAGTGCACTGAACTACATCACACATCTACAACATTTACTTCGCAAGTCTCTATTGTGGGTAACATGTTTGGTCTCTTTTAACTCATATGTAGTTTAACTGGTTTTAATTGAAAACATCACTCAACTTCATTAGTAATAATTCTTTTTTTGTTGTTGTTGGAGACAGAGTCTCACTCTGTCACCCAGGCTAGAATGCAGTGGCGTGATCTCAGCTCACTGTAACCTCTGCCTCCTGGGTTCAAGCAGTTCTCCTGCCTCAACCTCCTGAGCAGCTGGGCCTACAGACGCACGCTACCATGCCCAGTAATTTTGTATTTTTAGTAGAGATGGGTTTTCACCAGGTTGGCCAGGATGGTCTCAATCTCCTGGCCTCAAATGATCCACCTGCCTCGGCCTCCTAGAGTGTCGGGATTACAGGCGTGTGCCACTGTGCCCGGTCAACAGAACTTTTAAGATGATCAAAATGTCCAAAGTCAATGCTGTCAAATATGGCAGCCACTGCCCATATGTGGCTACTGAGCACTTAAAATGTAGATAGTGGTAAGAGATGATGATACTAGAACTGTGTAGAGAACTAAAATGAGGGATAGCAGAGAGAAGGTAAGGGTTCATGTTAAAGCAGATACCAGCTAAGGAAACATGAACATCTGTATATAGGGTATAATAACACTTTCCATTCCTAACTCAAAGGGTAATTTTTAAAATAAAGTAAAATGGTGAGGCACAGTGGCTCACGCCTGTAATCCCAGTACTTTGGGAGACCAAGGCGGGTAGATCATTTGAGGCCAGAAGTTAGAGACCAGCCTGGCCAATCTGGTGAAAACCCATCTCTACTAAAAATACAAAAATTAGCCAGGCATGGTGACGTGCACCTGTAGTCCCAGCAGCTACTCACAAGGCTGAGGCACTAGAATCGCTTGAACCAGGAAGTGGAGGTTACAGTCAGCTGAGATCATGTCACTGCATTCCAGCCTGGGAGACAGAGAGAGACTCTGTCTCAAAATACACATACACATACATGTACACATACATACATACAAAATTGAAATAATTATATGGGGAAGTGCTTTATAACTCAAAAATGCTCTACAAAAAAACAATGATATTAGTAATACTATTCACATTTTTTAAACATAGTTCTCTTTACTTTGTACATAGTACCTTTAAAATCAACATCAGTTCTTTCTCTGTAATTAGCACTCGACTATACAAAAATAATATTCCACCATTGCTGCCAATCACAAAGAAAGCAAAAATAAAGGTCCACCATTTTTAGAGATTTATGGAAGCAAGAATGTTGTTTTAGAGTTGATAAAGTTATCCACTGATTATAAGAAAATCCTTATTATAAGGTTTATTATAAGGATCAACCAAAATTCAGTGTAGAATTTTTGCAGGGTTTCTATGAGGTTCCAACACAATGAAAACATACGCCAAAACAAAAATTTATAGTAAAATGAACATTCTCCTGATGCTGGAATGCAAAGATAAGGTTTCCATAGCAACGAAATGGAAATTTAATTTTGGTAAGCTATCGCAACAAACAATTGGACATTTACTATAATTTGCACAACAAAGCTCAAGCATATGCAATTACAGTGTTGATATTATTTACTAATATTCACAAGTATATTGCCAAAAATCTGTTTGTCTAAGAATTGAAATGTGCAGGATCATTTTGGACTCTGCAGATACATAATCTTAATTTAAATTCACAAAATGTCCAAAGCCTGTGAGAGGATAAAGAATCTGAATTTAAGTTGCTCCATGAAGTTGCTGAATGGTGATATAATAGCTCAATATTTATAATGCACAATGCACAAATAACACACCATAGATTCTTAAATAAAAACTCAATCGTAGAAATCTTAAGATTTAAATAATCATAACCTGTGATTTCTTTATTTTGCATATAATCTCAACATACTATTATTTTAAATTATGACAATCATGGAAATATTTACACCTTAAGATAGTTATCCTCACTGTCCCTTCTATGAAGCAGAAAAGGATAAAAAACGGGTAGGGGAAGTGAAACTAAGTACGATCGGCCAGGCGTGGTGGCTCACGCCTATAATCCCAGCACTTTGGGAGGCCAAGGCGGGCAGATCATCTGAGGTTGGGAGTTTCAGATCAGCCTGACCAACATGGAGAAACCCCATCTCTACTAAAAATACAAAATTAGCCAGGCATGGTGGCACACACCTGTAAACCCAGCTACTCAGGAGGCTAAGGCAGGAGAATCGCTTGAACCCTAGAGGCGGAGGTTGCAGTGAGCCAGGATAGCGCCATTGCACTCCAGCCTGGACAACAAGGGCAAAACTCTGTCTCAGAAAAAAAAAAAAAAAAAAAAAGGGCCGGGGCGGGGTGGCTCACCCGTGTAATCCCCACTTTGTGGGGGGGCGGGGCGGGTGGATCACG